TCATCGACAAGTGTTATCTCAGTTGGATCTAATAGTTCAACACGTTCACAAGCTCTACGAAATTCATTTGAACTCATTAATAAATATCGTGGAGCATAACATAATGGACCCAAGACACGCCTTCGATTTTCTGCCGTTGGTTCCAATTTTTTTCGTCTACACTCAGCAATACTCCAGTCAGACAAGCATCTGAATAGTACAAGTTCAGAGCTCAGTTGCAGTGAATCACGTTTTACAATCGTTTCCAATTCCTCGAAACGCAGTTCAGTCATTTGCTGTTCTGTTAACACAGATTCTGCTTGCATATCAATCAACTGCAGAGTATTACTTAGTAGTGCCGCACAAAATTCCTCAGCTGTAAAAGGGTTAGAATGCGAGTTAGCTGTTGAGCTTTGATTGTCAGTTCGTCCCTTGTGTTTCTGTTTTTTAGCTAACAGTGCATCTTGTGATGTGATAACTGAATCCAATTGATTTTGACTGGCAGGCATTAAATGCTGATAATACCACAATGCACGAAATACATCGACGACTGTAATGCTACTTAAAAGTAAATCAAGTTCACGTATGCAGTGTATTATCTGTAAGAAATATAGATTGTTAAATTTTTTTTTTTTTAATTTTTAAGCATATATAATCGCAGGTTAACTCACCAAATCTGGACAATTAAAGCGGGCAGCTAATTCGAGTATTTTAAGTATATGCAGATGATCACTATATTTTACGAATTTCGTTTCAAGAAATCTTATGACTAGTTCAAAATCGTTTTTATCCACATTTGATATTTGAAAATGATTATCACCTTTACGTCCACTGTTCGGTCCGGCGTGTATGAGTTTGGCTAATTCCACACTATTTTCAAGTACAGCCTTTCTCTCGCATCGTATCATGTACCGATCATCACCGTTTACAACAATAAAATCAATATATGGGCTCGGTATAATCGGTATGACGGTGGATACATTTGTTTGTCCAGGCATTAGAAAAGCAGGAGGTGCTGTTGGTACCATGATTGTTGTTTGGCCACCCGTGTGTTGGCCGTCAGCTCCGAGACCGAATGGCAAAACCATATCCTCCTGCTTACTTTGTTTTTTAGACTGAATGTTGTATTTTTGTTAAAAAATTCGTGGCACTTAAAGTTTCGATATTGCCGCTGTTTTCTTCTTTTTTTTTTTGTATCTGCAGTTATATTAGTTGTTAGGTGTAAATTAATATTGGGCAGTGATTTTCGTTGAGTCTGTAATTAAGACATTAAAGAAATTGTTAAAAATATATTTATTTTTCATTTCAAAGACTTTGACGTTATATAGAAATATCTTATAATTTCCAAATTGCTTTGTTAAAAATAAAATCTATATGAAAAAGAATATTAAACAATAAAAATATGAACCAATTTAATTTACACAATTAAATTTGTTGGCTATATCTTAATAGGATACTGTAAACTAAAACACCACCTTACGAGAGTAGGCATATATATCGATGCAAACTGTAGATTATGCGAAGAGAATGAAGAGTCATATGCATATATAATAATAATAGGTAATAAACTCCTTCGACGCAACAGGACTTAAGACTTGAAGCCCAGAAGTGGGCACACCCGGTGGTCGCCAATGTTCTACCGTTTATTACCATCCTATCTAGTTGAATATGTATTATATTTTGATTTATATTTTTTATTCTAAACTAATAAACCAATAAATAAATAATGAAAAATTTTACAAATTATAATGACCACAAGACACATAATCTCAGATTTGATGAATATATTCCTAGAGTTGTGTCAATTTAGCAATATTCCAACATTGTTCTTAATTCCATCTCTACCCATCTCTATACTATCTATTATCTATATATCTTTAATGACTATCCTCTTTTAAGAGTTCCCGAAATTTTAATTTCAAACTATCTTTCAATAACCAATATAGGTTATATTTTTTCTTGTTTAAGTCCTATAAGATTTCTTGTCCTACAGAACTTAAACACCTTCTTTAACCCCAGAACGGGGTTCAATAGACCCGATGGTCGCAATATCACATCTCCTCTTAATAATAAATAAACTGAATAATTGTAATAAATAAATTATTATAAATCCTAAAAGTGTTCTTTAATTTTAGAGCAACTGTCTAAAGCTCTAGTTTAGAATATCTATTTATAAATTATTATTAGAATAAACCAAATTTTGATTGTCTAATTTTAGTTATACCACATTATGCTTCATTGTTTGTTATTAGAATCATTAATAGCTTATAACTGTTCTGTCATTAAACCTTTATTACTATAATCTATTTGTATGCTTTGCACTCGATCTTCCAATGCTGGGTTTTTGTCTTCAGACAGTTGGTGACAGTGTCTTACACTGTCTATTTCATTGTAATTGGGTTAATATTAAGAGCATTAAGCAGACCAATGGTTTTTTTTTGGTTAATATTAAAAATTGATCCTCTGCGCAAAACATTAGGTGGCTAAAATTTTAGTAAATTGTAATCCCTATGGGTTTAATATTAAAAATGGATGGTTTGTGTAGATTATCAAAGGGTTGAAGCTTTTTTAAAATCTAATTTAAATTATTTAAAATATTTTTTCAAATATATCATGGATATTTATTTATGACTAATCTAAATATTTGCTCGTAGACAAATTTATTAATAAAAAAGATCTTTAAGATAGAGTAACCATTTCGAATTTAAATGTTAAATATAAAATTAGTTTTAAATAAAGTTATTATAATGTTCAAAAAGTTTTATATCTATCTATGTATCTATTATGATATTAACATCAATTATATGTGCTAATCTATATATTTAGTAACACAATTATAAAATTTTAAAATTCTGGGAAAAAAACAACAAATCATTTATAGAGTATTTTATTTTTTATTTATAATTGGTCACGTGCAGAAACCTGTTATCAGTATTAAGTACAAATGATTCACCACGCCTATGAGGCAGTTATTAGAACTGACCCATAAATGCAATTTGATTGTCTTATCAAATCAATTTGTATTAGTTAGAAATATATACAATATATTATGATCGCAATTCATTGATATTATATCTTAAAAATTAAAGATTATATTGTGGATTCTAAGAAGTTCGTTTAATCGCAAAGTTTTTCTATAACTGCAATTTGTTTTCATTTTAGCTAATCTTTATAGCAAAGTAAGAGGTGAAAGTAATATGTGAATTATAAAAAACTATTACTTAAATTATTATTAAAAAAAAAAAAAAAATAATCATCTTCAGATGACTGAAATTTTAATTATAACTCTTATTCTACAGTTTATATGTAAATATGTATAGTACACTTTTTATTAATATTCCTCAAAACATTTTAGTTAAATAATTTTCAATCATTTGAGTATTTATAAATATTTGCAAGCATTTATTTATAATTAAAAACTTTTAAAATATTCGTCATTATTTAGTATTGTCGTGTTTATTTAATTAAACACATAGGAAAGAAATTGTAAGAGAAATACCTATATGATAACTTTAGGAATATTTTTTTATTTAAACAGTTGTAAAATCATAATTAAGAGTATGCGGTTTTAAACACGACACATTTTACGATAATTTTTTTTTATTTTGTTTTCAAATAAAATAATAAATCAAATTGTATAAAAAATTATCACATCAAATTGTAGAAAGAAAAATAATATACGATAATAAATAAAAATAAAATATATATATTCTAACACTGATTTTGTAAAAAATATGCTTTTAGGAAGTAAAATTTTAAAACACAAACTGAAATATCACTATATAATTTTGCATATACTGTAAACAAATAATTTTTGTTTATTTGTATATAAAAAAGTTCAAAAATTTATTAAAGATTCTATTAAGATAGCCAAACAGTAATTTTATTGCCTTACACTCTCTCTACATTATAACAAAAGTTATAATCGCATATCTGAACAAGATTAATAAGTATATAATAGAAAAACTTTTACATGGTTACTTAACCATATCTAAAGACATTCACTTACCAAAAATTAAATGTATAGCTAAGCTATTATCAATAAAAAAGCATCGACTAGATTGACTGACTAGTAGCCAATCTAATACTAGAATACTACGGTAATATGAATAAGACAAGCTAATCAGTGATGTTATCTGCTTTGCAATTAAATATTGCTTAATAGAAAAAAAGATTTAACAAAGAAACTTTTGGATCGATAGTAGAAAAACTATTAAGTGATAATCTTAATCTTAAGCGGGATAATTCCACACTATTTTCAAGTACAGCCTTTCTCTCGCATAGTATCATATACCGATCATCACCGTTTATAACAATTAAATCAATGTATGGGCTCGATGTTACGCGGGATATATATCCTGGAAAATCTTTTTCTTAAAAACTATATCACACTATTAAAAATAAATTCTTATTTCAGAAATGCACTCTCACTTTAATTCAGAAAGTTAGAAAAGAAGTTCAAAGATTTTGAATAATTTTTAAGAAGCGGAATCCAATTTCCCAGAACCATTCTGTGTTTTAGGCAAAGAAACTCTATCCATTCTTATGAAGGGCGCAGAGGAAAAAGAAAGAAATCTCTATTGGAAAAGGCTACACAAGACTATCACAATTTAAAATGCTTTTAGGGACTTACAACATAAAATTCTAAGAATAATTGCGGGATTATTGACCGGTCACTCTAGATTGAATAATCACTTATCAAAGTTAGGATATCAATTCAACTCAGACTGCAGATACTGTAGAGAAGAGAAAGAAACTACCATGTGCTTGGGGAGTGCCCGGCACTGATGCGCAAGCGGAATAAACACCTAGGAGGGTATTTCATGGATCATAAGGATCCAAAATAAGGCAAGATAGGCTCTTCTGTCTTTCATGAAAGAAATCGGACTTGGAGAAACACTCTAATCCAACTTAGGGGCACAATTTAAGGTCGCAGTGCACTATTCCTAATAATAATATATAAATTAAATTTATTAGTATTGGTACAATTGCCAATTGAATATAAAAATTCTATAACATAAAAATTATATATTGTACTATTAGTCATGCGTTGTTTATAAGATTTTAGTTTCATTTATAATGAATAATAAATTCGATTAAAATAAATTCAAAAATATTTTATATTGTAACGCTTAACAATAACACAACTTATTTAAAAATTTATTTATTTAAAATTTATTGCGAACATTGAAAACTTTAATAAAACTATATTTACAAGCAGCAGAAAAAAATTTATTCTGCGCATAAATTTTATAAATTTTTTACCGGTTATTACCATCTTATCTAGTTGAATATGTATTATATTTTGATTTATATATTTTTTTTTTCTAAACTTAAGAACGCAAAATGCACGCTTCAATAACAAAAAATATAGGAAATTTTTATGAAGATAGAAATTTTTAAAAATTCTGTTATGCAAACAACATTAAAAAACTATGAAAAATTTTACAAATTATAATAAGTACCAAATATATAATCATCAAGTTTTAAATGTACCTCAGATGTGATGAATATCTTCCTAGAGTCAAATCCATTAAGCAATATCCCGACATTGTTCTTAATTAAATCTCTACCCATATCCATCCTATCTATTCCATCTCTACCCATATTCATCCTATCTATTTCATCTCTACCCATCTCTATACTATTTATTATCTACATATCTTTAATGACAATCCACTTTTAAGAGTTCCCGAAATTTCGCTTTCGAACATCTCCTATTGCTATCTTTTAATAACTAATATAGTTTATATTTTTTCTTTAAAGGATTTCTTGTTCTATTTTCTATAAATTCGTCTTACTCAGATTGTAATATGCTCTGTAAAAACTTTTTTCTTGAGAGGTATATATGTTACTTTGAAACAACCTTCTCTCATATAAAGTAACCCTCTTTGTCTAATTTTTAGACATTCACCATTTCGTCATCTCGTATATTCTTATCGATTAATGTAACATATAGTCTTAGATATTCGCAGCTCAGTTTTTTTAAAAACAATTTATGAACATAAGTGTACATTTAAGACCATAGATGCTGGCGTTAAATTATATATTTTATATCCTTATATCTTAAACAGAGTTGGTAGGTTTTAGCGAATAGCACATTAAAGTATCTAAAGGTTTTCCTACAAAGGTTGTATAGTCTATGTAATGGATATAGTAATGATGATACAATGATATTATAAACATATATTTTATTCTCTCAATATTTATTTATATACTATAATATGAGATATTTAATTTTCTGAAAGGAGTCATGATTGTTGCTTGCCACCAATGTTAGATTACGGGATTAATT